CTTCAGACGTTTCCTTAATCCTTGACAAGACGATTTTACGAAATAAAAAACTTAGATTAAAGTAAGTAGGAGTTGTGTTGCACAGTAAACGGAATACAATCAGGTACCATACAATAGAGCTCGCAACGAAGACCTTGAACAGGATTATTCCTCTGTATTTCCATCTGGAAATCTTTAAAATTAGTCCAGAGCTGTAGCAATACAGTAACAGAAACCATCGCTTTCAACAAGCACAACCATTTGGGATCAATGGATTTTCATAAAATCTTTGATCATTGAACGAAACGCACCTGGGAATTTTTCAGTCATCATTTCCGACAGCATTACTAATGAAGAGAATTTTCCTTGGTTTACACGTAACCATAACGAACTGGAAAGCCAATCGTATATTAACACTTCTAAAGCCTGAGATATAATTTTACTAGATGTCTTACTTAAAACCGAAAATGATCAAGAACCCTAACAGAAAAGGGAACTACTTACTCCACATGTTTTCACACGACCATGGTGATTTGCAATGAATATGAAAGAGCTATTCCTGGATAAACAACCCAATTTACGCTTGAAATCAGAGTGATGCCAGATAATGAGACAGTTGTGATCAAGTCAGTGTTGGCCTGGTTAGCGTGCTCATTTATTTTTTGTTTTAGACAGCCTTTACTCAACAAGGTACGTTAGCAGTATGAGAAATGGAAATTACTATTGTTGGCCGCTATCAACAGTTCCCGTATTTACCTTCAGATCAAACTGGGCCACAGCACCACTCTGGCCACCGATAAAAATGCTCCACGATGAAGGATGTACAACCATATCAATCACCGCGGTTGTTTGTCCATCAAATGCATGAAATTCGCCGTATTTAACCAAGTCTTTAGTGATGGTAGGCATTTCCGGTGGAGGATTTGAGGAGCTACGTGACAAAGGATGATTTGTGGTAGGTCCTGGTGCATCTTTAAGCGTGGAATGAGCATGTGTCGGATCCGGTTTAACTAATCTTTTCACCTTTGGTTGAGCAGGACGATGAGTAGGAAGTTCATCCTCAGAAGAGTCGAACGAGGAAGATGAGGAGGTGCACGGTTCAGTCGGTTTGAGGATAGGATGATCTGGAGGAACTGAAAGCGTGGTACAAGCTGAAGCAGGCGGGTTCGTGTTCACAATTGGCTCGCCTTTTACACAAATAGGGGGCCCTAGATTGCAAATGAATGGACAGCCCGATGAACGGGTGAGTGAGTGAAAACTGAGATATGTGATAACAACAAAACCACTAACAGTCGATAGATCTAATCAATGAGTACGGTTGTTGGTGCATTAGATAGAACACAGATCAAATAGATTTTCAAATAAAAAACAAGTAGACGCATTGGTGGACTAAACACAACAGTGAGTGAATCCAGGGAATGTAAACGGGTCTATTGTCGACGAAATGATCCAAACATTGTTTAGCTTCTTCGCTGAGGAAACGTTTCCATTGATTCACATTCATCTTGAAATAATGAATGGTATAGGAAGACTCACAAGATGCGATGTTTTTAAGGCTACACTGGGGTTAATTGGATTCATGGGTACTTAAAACAAATCCTACTATGGTCATTGCATTTGGGTCCAGCAGATAACGGAAACCTTGTGGGCCCGTTAAAATCCTTTCCTACACGACAAGCAAAAGTGCTCCAGGTGTATTTCACCCGCATTGATGACAGCCGTTTGGTTCCAACCAATCACACTGATATTGAGCAGCAATGTAGCTAATCTGGCTCCTTCTCACGCAAGTTTGCCGACTAAACGTTACCCTCGTCTACGATGCAAACAGATTAGTGCAACCTACTTTGGGCGAAACTACCCGAGTTAAGTCTCTATGATTGTGGAAGCAATTAAAGACATTCAATAGATCTACTCTAATACCAAAAAAAAACAGATACAGGCCAGATCATCAATTATTGCGATATTGCATCAAGAATGTATCACGCAAAACATTAGACTGGCGATAGTTGAACGACTAGCATCACTGACCGGGTGGCCACAAGGTATACATTAATATTGCATCAGTTTCATCTTTATTTCGTACCATCGAAAAGGTCGGATCGACTGCATTTCATCTTCGGGAGATCCGACAACAGAACTGAACAGCCAATGGAGGAAAGTAACAATGAAATGACCGATAGTCCTGGTCATTCACAAAACTATCTGACGAGACTGGGATCAGTGTTCCTGTGTATTTCAAACAATGGTGAACTGAAGTTCAGTTTCAGACCCCTCGTGAGCGATTGAATCACTGAGATTCCCCCAACAAGAAGGGGGCCATACATCGTCATTCCGGGCATCTAAGAATGAATAGCGAGACTTAATATGAACTATACCAGAATGATACTCTTTCATACTTTAAAATATCTAGTTCATCATCGCTTCTCCTTCTGTTCAGTAAACACTGATGGAGTTCCACGGAGGAAGCTGTTGAGTAACATAGTAAGCTCTGTCGTCGATCCTAACTGATATTAGGCGAACTCCTACGGGTAGTCGAGATCGAAAAGGTCAACAGTCGCTGTAACTTCATAACTGATTTCAAAGGACGTGAGTCACACCTTCTTCACCTTCTTCAAGCGATACGAGTGCACCTAAATTTCCAAAATAGCACTACATCAAAGTGAAGCCGATTTTGATCAGCATTACTCTAAAACTGTTCATTTATACTGACTTAACAAGTTCAGACAGAATAAATGCGATATGTAAAAACAGTGCTTGGATAAACTTCAATAACGAGAAACCTCGGAACTCGGCAATGTTTCAAAAATCTTAAACTCTTATTCACCTCAAGATCAGGAACTAGTGCACATAAGACCGGAATTGGTATCAGTCTTGGTAAATGCAAGTTATCTCACTGTAGCACTTTTGAATCATAGGCACGACAGTGGTCATCAATCATACAATTCAGGAGTAAATGCTTCTCACCCTAGTATGTACCAGTCGATTCCCAGAGAGATCAAATAAAAAATGTACGCAGTTTAACGATTCCCAAGGAAATTGAAGCAACTTCCCAGTTTTAGAAAACTCAAGCTGAGCAGCTCACATACACGTTACTTCGTTTACAATCCGCTTGCTTCATTGAGGGCATCGAGTCCGAGTAATGGTGCTGAACATTGACTCACTAACAAACGCAGCAACGAACACAAGGAAAGTGTTCAGTCATGCACTTCAATCACAATGCCGTTTTACGATGCAGTCTGGTGATCTGAGATTCCTCATGGAAAATTTCATAACTTAAGTCGAATGGTTAGGACAGGTTTTGAGATGAAAGATGCTCCCGAGGGCTCTAGAGAAAATATCTGTTGTCGCAATGGTCTATCACATAGTAAGCTCTGTGGCGAGAAGACAAATATTCCGCGGGAAAACATCGTGCCTTCTAATCAAGTAAACCTTTTTTCATTATAATAATCCAGGCGCCACTTAGCACCAGAACTTGCGAAGCACACTATAGATTACCTCAACTGCTACTAATGGTATTTCTACCACTAATAATAATTTTAATAACAATAATGGCTCCTCCCAATAGATATGCTATCTAAACTATTCACTAAACGACCTTCAAAACAAAAAGAGAGAAAAGACAGAGGGTGAGACGATAGTTATTTATCTAGCAATAAAATGAGGAAAGACATCTTTTTGTCTTCAGGTAAAGATTTGGAGTTTAATTTTATGATTTCAGAAATTCAATATGAACAGTTTGCCGAGATTCGTCGGAGTGTATGGTATGGAAATTACAAAGATGCTCATTGCATTAAGTAAGTCACGGGAACATGGTCCCCTGTTTGTACTGTAATACAGATTCAGACGGATGAAAGATAATGGTTACTGATCGGTCAGAAATTAGCAAAACATCAAGTATCCTGCTACTTACTATGAACAGGACTTTGGGAAGTAGAGGTTGCGGGATTAGAGGTGATCAATCGAGTCGGTTCATTTGACTGTACAGTCGGGAGTTGAAGGCCTGTGGTGCAATTATCGGTCTGTGCTTGTTGCTTTGCGCTGGCCTTAGCTGCTGCTTGTTGTAGCATGCGGTCCACGTCTTCAAATGTGAACTGCCAGCTATCCGGTGATTGCAACGCTTGACGAATCAATGCTAATCGTTCCAAATCAACTCCGGGAGGTCCACCCGGGACATCCGATGTCGGCCGACTAAACAAATTGGGAACGCTCGATGGGTGAGTAGAATTCGGGATTGTCGCGGTTTCCGAACCAGATGTGGGTGCTGAGGGTATCGGTGGGACCACTTTGGTTTGTGATGGGTGATGGGTTTCAGACTGCCGTGCTGGATGAATAAGCGGATTGTGATTCATCGTTGGTGTCAATGTGGATGAAGGATTCTCTAACGGAGGGAAAAAATGGAAAATCTATCGGTTAAAGTGATGGATTAAAGGTTCGATCAACGAGGCCGATTGACGATTATCTCGACATAAGGAAAATTTTCTCGTAGCTAAGGTTGTAAATATTTAATGGACAAAGACAAAGAAAAACTAAACCTTGGATAGGATTGAATTCCACTGCAATGCGAATATGACGTGTGAAGAAAACCAAGACAATCTTAAGATTCTCACCATGATTTGCAATTCAAAAATGAGATAAACCATGTTTCAACGGAACTGTAACTTTTGATCGTTGTAAATCTGAGCTGCGCCGAAAAGGATATTCGTTCGGCCAGTAACCATTGAATGTCTGTCACAGTGGTCCACCCAAGTTAACCACATCGATCACAGTTAAAATCATTATGCGTGCAGGATGTGAAAAAGTAGCCAATGTTTGAATACCGGCATACTCAAAGCATTGGCTGAACATAATGGAACAACCAACTAGGCAATGTTGGGGTTGGTTTAAAGGTCCTGAGTGACCGTGGTCAAAGAGCGAGTGCAGTAGCAGATGGAGTGACAGAGGAATTTCGTTGATCAGTGCATGTTGGGATAGGATCGATTTCGTAATGGGCCATGCCCATGAGGGTGAGCATGTGATCTGTTCACCAAGCTACCACACCCTATCCAAAATATCCCTGGAGTTACAAAAAGGTTTTTTGATGAAAACTCATTCCAACTATCAAAAACGAAATAAACTAGCTCACATTTATTAGAAACGGCAAATATGAAACCCGTACTTACTCGTTCTCGTTTGAATGAGACTGGTGGAAGGAGGTGTGGCAAAAGATATGGTTGAATTCATGGCCGAGTTAGGGATTGGAGCATGTTTCTGGTGCTCAGGTGGATTTACTAATGGGAAAACGCTGGTAGGCCACTGTTGTGATGCGTGGACGGGGGGTATGGTCGAAAATGCTTGAGTCAGATTCACTGGTGCAATTGTGGGGGCATTGGTACTGATCAGTGGTCTGCGAGAGTGGCTCGGTTGCTCTGGTACACTGGTTGATACATTAGAACAGTTGTCATCTTCATCGGATTCCGAGCGTACAAGACCTAGAAGTGAAACAAAATCTTTGAAAGTAACTGAACAAAAGTAGCAGCTGGAATTTTCCATAGTTTGAACTGCAAAAATGTATGCCCAATAAGTCGGTACATGACAATGCTTGATTGTTGTTGTACAACGTGGTGTATAAAACAAAACAGGCGAAATACATACGTACTCGAGAAAATTCACTTTGCGGTGAGAACAGATCAACGGTGAACACCATACACACTTGGCACGGAACCGGGCGGTAGAAAAGCCGTCCAATATCAAACTGAGATAAAGATAATGGTAGCAGGAAGTTTTGTGCTTCCGAGTCAAGTAATTATTTTCTTCAACCCCAAGACTCACATTTTCAGCGTCGTGTTCAATGAGATAACTGACTAGAAATACTGACCCTTATTGAATCTGTGTGTCTTGCTCCGATGCTTGCATTTCATATTGGACTATCTCATAGAGCGCACCAATCATCGATTCATTCAAGTCACGACTGGGTGAAGCATTGAAACACCGATGAGTGAACGCTATAATTTGCTATTTAGTTGTACCACCAACCAAACCCAGTGTGTACAGATCAATAAGCATCAGCTTTGTAATTTAACCACAATAAAAATTTGAATTTGAGGACGTCGTGGAGCTGGCCGGGATCCGGTCGGACCGGAAGATTCCAATGGACATGTTTAAGGGGATGAGTGACAACAGGTGTGTGTATCAAAGTAAACCCGATAGATCACACGAGGACAATAGCCGTACACCACAGAATCGTCACAAATCAAACTTCCGATCAGATCTTCAACAATCGTGCAATAAACCACCCGAAATTCTCGAACGGAGGCAGATTCAAACCAATTGTCGGTAAAAGGACATCATTGCTCGATGGATGCAGAGTTCATTTTCGCCAGAGGAGTGTTGTGAAGTACTACCCAAATTTGTGAGTAGTGTGCAAAATAGTGCGGTTGGTGGTATCCTTCAAAGATCAGAAATTAACAAGACCACTGAGGGCAAGATGCTGTGTCTCAAAGAATAACTACCGGCTGCTCCATTCAGTACTCGGTGTGCTGCTAGGAACTGCAATGATATGTTTCAAATGAGATTTCTGTTATATGTATGTTATTTACCATAAACAACTATCCTCGACCGAGCAACACCTTGTGGAATTATAACACTATCATCGATAGCTTGTAATAAACAGCCGTATTGCAGAGAAGCTGAACCAATAACATACAATTTACCGTAGAAAACGAAAACTTTTTGAAAAAAATGCATTTCTGACGGGACTGCCATAATCTGTCCAATGTAAAGGAACATTGTAATATACGAAATTTTAAAGCTTTCTACTTTTGACACACTAACGTAGTAGTGTCCGTACCCAGTTCGATCGAGCTAAGTAGACTGGGACCGAAAACACCATAGAGGAATAGGAGTTCTTATGCCGTGCTCTCTTGGCAAACGCAGTTACGTAAGCAAATCTCTGAGCCCATACAAAATTGGGTGCAATTACAGGTGGAAAGGCTGTTCCTATGGGGTGACAAGGAGATAAGTGTCGTCAACAGAAAAACGTCCCGGTAACTAATAGGCGTTTAATGACACAACACTGTGTTGACCGATAAAAGGCGTTTGTATCATCAGCAAGGCTGATAACGTTAGGTTGTTCAAACCATGAGAGGATTACAAGCAGCCGTTGAAAATTCCGCTTTCGTCAGGAAGAAAAACCGTAAATTATATTGAGTCTATTTTGGTAACCCCCTCCCGAAATCCTCGACTATTTTCAGTTGTGTTTCCAGTGGTTATGTGTATATATGCTATGTAGAAATTCGCCCTACTGCAACTCGCTTCATTGCTTCCGTATTCTACAAGCTCGTTCACCCTCCGCCTCTCCGGAGATCCGATCGCAGAAGCCGCTGATNCACTGAGTACGCGTGCAGAAGCAGCACTATTAGACTGGATTCCAATCAATAGTCGACTCTGCCCTATCTGTCTAGAAGGATCGGGTGGAACGTCTCGCTATAAGACCAAAAACCTCTGTCTGACAATCACTGCGGCTTACGCGCTCACGTACTGCAGTTCCAGCATTTTCTCTCGAACTACTTGACACTCGTCGAAGCATCCTTCCTGGCAATAAGTATAACACAGTGCTGAACTGAAACGGTTCCTAAAAGAGGATCGAATAACCTGGTGGGAACAACTCGCTACCGAGATGGAACTAGTCTCTGCTTCTGCAAATGCTCACAAACGTTTTCGACTAATCCGAGCCACCGGTACCAAAAATACATGTATTGGTGAAACTATATGCGACACCAATGGCGAATATATCCACTAAGACGTCGGCTTGGGCAGTGGGCGGAGCAAATCCATTACCAATTCAGTTGGCTATCGACCTTATGTGCTCCATAGTCTGTGGATATTTCATCACCTACCGAGGAAGAAGTTTCCCGAGAGCTCAGACTTCTGAAACGCCGAAAATCACCCCGTCCAGATGAGTGACCTCCGGTTCTTTTCAAAGACGGCAGTTTTGTCTGAGAACTAACTTTTCAAACTATCTGGAATACCGAGTCCATTCCATCCGAATGGAACTTCCTGGAAGTCGTACCTGTTCTGACGAAGGGCTCTCGCAATGATTACTCCAATCACCGAGGGATTAGTCTCATCGCCGTTGAGTCCAAAGTGTTAAAATTATTGATCCTTCGCAAGCTCAGTCGGATGAGCAAGCGTCATATTCGTGTAGAACAAGCTAGTTTCCGCTCCTGCCGGAACTGTATTGATCACATATTTACGCTAAGTCAGATTCTCGGGCAACGTTAAACGTTCAGTTGACCGACTACCGTTGACATTTTGGATATACTTGATGCGTTTGACTCAGTTGACAGAGCAGCTCTCCACTCAAAAACATTAGGCCGCGCCAAGGTCTATGATCGCATCTCCCCTTCATTTACCATCACAAGTCTGGTCCGACAAAAGTGCCCGAATTCACCCCTCTTGTTGAATTCCGCAATGAACAAAATCCTAAGCAGCGCTCTAGAAAACTCCAGAGCTGTCAGTGTGGAGCTTCTCCCAGGTGTTCGACTCCCTGACTTGGGATTCAAAGTTAGGAAATCGACATCGTTGTACTCTACGACGCTCAAAACGTCCTGTGTATGTTAGCGATGTCCGTCAAGCAGTTTAGTATGACCTTTACTCCATCGAAAAGTATGGTATTACTACAAGAATGATAAGAAGCTACACCTATCCTCACGTTCATGAGCGACCAGCTGGAAATAGCCGGTCACTTCATTTATCTCAGGAGTTGTTTCAGATCAAAAGGACAGACAGAAGCGCGTATCCGCAAGGCTAACCTACGTCACTAGTGGNCTAGTGGCGCCGATGCGATCTGCCTCTCTTTCAAACGCCGTATTTACAATGTAACAATAAGCATTGTCTGACTCTACTGCCGTAAGGTCCTTCCACACATAAGGAGATTAAGTGTCTCTGACCACTGTTGCCTTCGGTGTACCGCCAGAATACCTTGGCAACAGCGAATCATCAACGACGAGCTTCGTTGAAGAATCTTCGCCTCAGAGAATCTCACTCGTCATCTAAGTGCCGCCATACCGCTCTAGAGACTTCGGTGGATAG